ATGTGAATGAAGAATTGATAAAGGGGTATCACGTGATAATTTTAACTTTTTCTTCATGAAGACAGTAAATGGTGACACAATTCCTTTGCATTGTTTTTTAGTAAAAAACGTTAATTGAGAGCGGTATTCAATGCGTGGTATCAAGACAGAATTAAATATATAAACTAATTGCTTGTCAGTCAATCTTTTATGATTCATGATTAAAACTGCTTATTTAATTTCATTGGTGATAGATTTACTAATGAATGATTTGTTAGGTCCTAAAAATATCCAGACATCTAGATATTTTGCTAATTATTGGTAGGCTGAGGGGTGATTGTAGTCGTGTTATTAATGGAAAGTAAAGTGATTGATTGACAGAGTCTGTCGTTATTTGTAAAAAGAACTGATTTCTCCCTTTAATGAAATTGAGATCATAGAAACTGTCAGCGATTTTCATTATTTTGGTGAGATCTTCTCTTGAATTAGCAATCCACAGAGTATCGTCCATATATGCGAGTGTAGTGATCTTAACAGATTCAGATAAGGTATCACTAGTAGAAACGTCTGGTTTCCATTGATGCGACAAGTTATACCCAAGTGGGGAATCATGTATTCTGCATAAAAGTGGATCATAATATATACACCACAAAATAGGGGAGATAATCTCTCCTTGATCAAGACCAGAGGTGACTCTGTAAGAATCTGTATTTCCGAAAAAAGTAAAAACTTGGTTAAAGCGATTGCCAAACATTTTGAGTATGAATCTGATAAAATTGAAGGGTATGTGTAGTCTTTCAAGTGCTCTAATGAGCATGAATAAGTTTACGTAGTCGTAAGCTTTAGATATATCTTGCATCAAAACCCAGAGATCTTTTTTGTTGACGATGGAATTGTATTTAATGTTATCTAAAATACGAAGTAGTTTGAATGTTGATTTGTAAGGAAGTCCCGCGAAATTGAGTCCCTTTAAGACATTATGTCGAACCATAATAGTAGAGAGTCTTCTATTGAGCAGTTTAATAAGAGCTTTTTGGAAGCATTCTAAAAGAGTGATTGGTCTTATATTATTCATATCATATTCCTACGGTTTGGGTTTTAGAATAGGATATACGAACGCATGATTCTATTGGTAGGGAAGTGTAGAATCTGCTACACAAAACCGAATGATGTACCAAAGTATTTTATTTGTGTAAGGATCCAGATGTTTAAGCATCTTGTTCAATACTTTAGAAGAACCAAGAGCTTTACCATTTGGCAGAGTAGTGAGGACCTTATACCATTCGTCAGCTGTTAGTAAAGCCATAAGATCATTATAAATAGATTCGTTGACTTGATCCACTGGCTTATATGATTGACTCCAATCGTCCAGAATATCCATATTCTCATGAGAAGTGCCAGCTGCAAATTGAAAGTGGTGATTAATCACATTCTTAACTCGTGTTTCCTCAGTCAAGAGATCACGTGATGAAGAGTTCGGATCTAGACATCTATCCAAAATAATTGTTTTTCTTGAACGGTTAAGGATTGAGTCAATCATTCAAGACAGATCTGTAGCATAGTTATCAAGCCTAGACTCAATTGCTTGCTGGATTGATTTTAACTTGAACTCTTGCTCATAAAGTTTAGTTTTAACTAGAATGCAATTAAGTATTATTTTCGAACAAGGTATTAATGATTGTAGTAGGGCAATTGGTGGAAGTGGTGGTAGAGAAACTAGGTTAATTCCAAACTCATGAGCGAGATCATAGAATTTAATAGAGTATGAAACCCAATCCTGCGGCAAATTATTCGTCTGGCAAGTCATTTTGATTTGCTTAGTAAATTTATATAAGAAACGAAGTTTTGAATATAATTTGGACAACAAGGGTAGCTTCTTTAATTTATGTTGACCATTGGATTTATGTGGAGGTATAATGTGATTGGCAGCTTTAATGATATAATCAAGAAATATTTTCTGCTGGTCAAGCCTATGTTGCATTAGGCCGATGCTCAGATTGGTCAAAAGTGCACTTTGTCTCATTACATCCTTCAGCTTTTATTACTGATAAATCAATGCTTAAAGAATATGAAAGATTAGAACAAAAATCAAATACTTTTTTACCTTTATAAATATAGTATATATTTAAATAATTTTTTTTAATAAAAATTTTAATCTAATAAAATGTTTATAAAAAACTCTCCTATTTAAAATTTATTAAATAACTTTACAAATACAACAAAATATTTATGTAGATATAGATACGAATATTATTGATTATAATATAAATTTATTTATATGAATATAAGATATTTAATCTGACGCTTAATGAGGAACGAAGTCCCCTGCATATTGCAACTTCTAGTTTATTTATTAAAAGATCAAAATTATTTTTAGAAAAAATTATTTTATCATCATTATATTTAATATTTATATCAGACCAATTATTAAAATTTAATTTAATATTATTATCTAAATTTAAAAATTGAGATAATTCACATTCTGTATAATCATCATCATTTCTAATATATATATCATTAAATTCTTCTGATTTTCTTTTTTTATTTTTACTTCTATCTGCTTCTACAATTGATAAATAATGTGAAAAACATAACTGATCATTAATTTGAAGATAATTATAATTTTGATATGTATTGGTTTTTATAGCTTTTTCTTTACTTAATTGAGTAAATTTTCTAAATTTATATATATTTGGATCATTTTTATCATAATCCTTAACTTTACATGGACATTATTAGAATTATTAGAATTCATTTTAGATATATTTGATATATACTTTGATTTTAAATAATGAATTTTTAAAAATATTAAAAAATATTAAAAAAAGCCGAAAAATATAATTTTAAATAAAAGGCTGAAAAGGTATTGCAATCAAAAAATTAGCCTATCTTTTTTGGTAAATATTGTGTCGATCAATTTCAGACCAATAAAATTAATCATTTATGTGATATTTCAAAAATGATTATCACAAATTTCAACCAATAATATCGCTAGAAAATCGAATGTCCATTATGCTTCAATGAATAAGATTGTTTTTGTAATTTCAAGGTTTTACCTTCAGTTATATGCGGCATATACAGTGCGCCCTCCCTAAATGCATGCATTATACTTTTTTCTATAAATGCACACTCAGTTTTATATAAGGATCATAAACACCCACTTTATAACATTGCATTTTTTCGAATTATCACTATGATCTGATCCCAAGAGGGTTGCATTAAGGTCTCACGTATATAGATTTGATAACTGAGAAATTTTAAGTCCATATTAAAATAAATAAAAAAAAAGTCTTTTTTTTATATTATTTGCAATTACTGAATACTAGCTTTTGCGGGCAGAAAAATATTTTTAAATCAAAATTAAAAATTAAAAAAAAGTTGATAATAAAAAAAATTAATTAACATAATTAAAATTATAATAGTTAGCAACTCCCATTTAATTTCAAACGTTGTTAAAAGCACAGTAAATAAGCAGCAAGAATATAAAAAATCTAAATTAAGATACCAAATTGAAAGCGATGTTTCAAAGACATCGGGGGTTTAACGTAGACTATGACACTTAAATGGAATAAATAGAGTAATTCATCGAGGAAATCGTCAGACCTTTAATAGAATTTTCCTAGGCTGATCAGATTTATAGTGGATCATTTTTCCTTAATTGGCAATTTGAATATTTAATTGATTTCCTCAAAAGTTAATATAGTTAATATAATACTCAATCGAATAGCAATTATTTTTATTTATACTATTGGAACGTTACTATATCGGAACAATATTAGGATTTCTAAAATATTTTTGATGCGTGTATAACATCAAATCACGAAAACACAACCTATAAACTATATTATAGAGTGGCAGGAGAGGGAGGGTCGTAAATGGGTAATTGCAAATTTGTAAATTTGCAGGAAAGAGAGAATTTGGAGGTGGGTTTGAACAAACGGTCTAGGAGACTAATTTATACTAATAGTCTAAATTTGCCATCAAATACATTAAGCCATTATTATTTCATTATTGCATCATTGTTAAACCATTGATTACGAAAATTGATTGGCGCAGTAAGTGAACGGCATATCAATTCATTGGACTTTTGTCGTCCAATTCCAATTATCATCGCTGGCAATATAGACACGTGTTACATTTCATTTTATAAATAATATGTAATTTATCGAGATAGGGCTATATTAGGGACATTTATGGGAGAGTTTAGGGGCATTTTTTCTATTAGTGTTGGATTATGGTCAGCTTATTGCAAATGTCTATTTATTTTATATATGGAATGATTTCTAGAAAAATCGGGTTTTGGGAATATTTTTATAAGATCAAGATTTTTTCTATTATGATATTAGATAAATGTAATGTAGTAAGTTTTTATACACAAATATTATATAATAAACAATACTTTTTTTTTTAATTCCCCTGATATTCTTACAAGTTGAGGGAATTTCGGAATTTGACATTAAACTTTAAAATTTTTTCGAATAACTTTAACTTTGTATTGACAACAAACAATTTTGTAATTTGCTTTTTTTTTAATTCACAAAAAAATTCCTTTGGTCATAATTTACGAATGTTGAATACTTAGTTGAAGGAGGGTTTGGCAAAGTTTAAACATAAATTTAACATGACTTTTTTTGTAAAAGAAATTTTGATTTTCTCTTCACTCATATTACAGTAATGCAATCCTTGCCGAAATTAAATTTGTCATCACCAGCAGCTATATTTTGATTGGCTAATCGTTATAATTGATACTCGAAAACAAAAGAAAAGACTTATCCCTACTTTATAGCTTATAAATTTTATTTTTGTCAAACTTTAGATTTTGTGCATACGTTGAAGTGGCTATGCAGTGCAAAAATCCAAGATTTTATTAAGCATGCGATTAATCAAAATTTTCAATAAGAAAAAAAATAAGTTCTATAATCGAAAGAATGAAAGTAAATAAAAATGTTAAAACAATCTTCTCGATTTAATTAATACTGAGGTAAATCATTGACTAAATCTATATTATAAACCGATTTTATTCAAACAGATAAATGACCAATGAGGAATTGTCTCAAGTGAAACTCAAGGTTTTGCTTATGTTTGTTAGAAAATTCCAAATTTTGATGATGATGCTGTTGTTGCTCGCTTTGCTTTATTTCAATGCCATAGAAATTAAAGTTTAAATATTGAACTATGTATGAATGAGGAGTCATTTCAGAAGTCACTCGATAAATCTTTTGATCGGTAGGATGTTGAAAATAAAATACGAAAATGTTATTTGAATTATGACAATTATAAGTCGAGTACAAGTTATTATTTAACAATTGAGATATAAGCTCATTGAAGGTAATTTCTTTACAATGAATAAAATAAATTTGAAAATCGTTGTTTGGCATGTAATAGAATACAATTTCTTGAGGCATGGAGGCACTACCATTAGAAGATGTAGTGTTTTGTATAATATTAAGATTTGAAAAACCGTTGTCATCTTGAGTACTATGTGAAGTCATCATCAAAATTTCTTGTTTCGGGTTGTTTAGAATAGCACTGAAAGCTGCAAATGTTCAGATTACAATTTTCAATAAGGATGAATATTCGGATCAGTGGTTTAATATGCTCTCACAAAAGATAATTCCTCAAAATTTTTGATTTGAAATATTAATTTGACTTTCGTACCGTACACTATTTATATGTTTTTTTTTATTCAAAAGCTTACTCTATATGATTTGGTAAAGAATTGTTGTTTGAATGAATCTTAATTTAAGTCTATTGATAATATGGCTTTGAAGAAATAACAAAGGAAAATTACGTCGTTTACGTCGTTTAGTTTATATGGCTAATAATTTTTTTTATTATAGTATAAAAAAAGCACTATCAAATACAAACTAGGGAACGGTTTCGGAAAAGAAATCAATCATGTATCGACTCAATTTTGAGCGGGTGGACAACGAAAAGTATATAGTCCTGTTTTCGCTTCATTTTAGTAAGAATTTGATTGGTCATATGCAAATGTACGTACCTTTTCTTTTTATTACTATCACAATGACCAAATTAATAAACAAAGCATATTTGAAACAAAGATTTACGATTGACAATCGAACCTATTGTTCATTATTTTGAAGAAAAGATCCATTTATTCATGAAAGAATAAAAAAAAAGGATTAATTTTCGTAAAATAGAGCATTTTATATATTTGTCTTGTTACACTAAATTATACTTTTGTGTATTAATCAGTTGTAGCCCAAATGTGTTAATGACCCGAATCGATCTTCGCAATTGGATACCAAATTCGAAGATCGATTCGGGCATTAACACATTTGGGATACAACAACATCAAATTTCGGATTACCACATTTTTATTCTATCAATACATAGATTACTTTTAAACACATTGTAAGTCGCTCGTCATTTTCATTCGTCCCAGATTGAACTCAGTTCCTAATATAAACTTAAATTAATACTTAATGTTTGTTTATCGATCTTAAATTAACATATTAATTTTCTGATTATATTACAAACATGACAAATTATTTGTTTTGAATAATTTTGTGCTATAACTTTAATCCAAGATTAAAAGGTAAATCATTTGTTTCAAATCACGTGATACTGATTAACTCGCGTGATTTATATTTAGTTTTTTCCCTTTATATTTTAAATCTATTTGCCAACTAACAAATCCAATAACAGTTCATATTTCAAGTATAACATATTATGAACATATCATTAGTATTTTTTTCATTAAACATTTTTCATACAAGTTGTTGATACTGTTTAATAAAGAAGTATTTTTGCAAGACGTTACTTGATCATAGGCGTGAAATTTTGTTTTATTAGATGTATACATTAATTAAAGTATAAATATAAAAACTGTAATGACAAGCATATAACGAAATAAAAATTGTAAGTTAGGCGCCGGGCTAATATTATGGTCGGAAGACATTTTTACTTCCAGACAATGTTCTTTGTGTATTACGTAATCTACAGAACATGACAACTTTACTTGGAGAATTTTTATTTAATAATTATCCAATTTCATTGTGTATTAAATATTTTAAAATAAATTGACATCAATTGACTTGAGCCTTGTAACCACACAAGATATAGCCACTTATTAGTGTCGCGAGCTTCTGGAATATGTTTTGTCAATTTTATCTGAAATTAAAAAAATGTGAGAAAATTATCTTAATTTCACGTGATATTGTTTATATATTAAAAAAGGTCATATTTGTTAACTTTATTTTAAAATCAAACATAAATAATACATAAATAGACTGAACTTTTTTAAAAAATATATATAATCCTAAATAACTAGTAAATAAATAATACAATTAAATTGATAAGTAGATAATTGATTAATATCCGTCTCATTGGGCTGAAGAAATAAAACATCATTTAAATTTTCAGGGGAAATCAATTAATCAACAAGGAATTGTCTTAAGTGAAACCCAAGGCTTTACTTTATGGTTATTAGAAAATTTCAAAGTTTGTTGTTGTTCATTTTGCTTCAATGCCATAGATGTTTGAGTTTAAATATTGAACTATATTTGAATGAGAAATCATTTCACAGGCCACATGATAAATGGGTTGTGATCTAAGGAAATCAAGTTCTGAGAAATTTTTGACTAAAATTAATATCTTATTACATTTTAGTCTAAATGTAATAAAAATTAAAATACAATTAAAATCTCAATTTTGATAAAAATTTCTCAGAACTTGATTTTCTTAGATCACAACCCAAATTCTTTATCCATTAGGTTTTTGAAAATAAAATACGAAAAGTTTAGATTATTTTATAAGGCGAGCATAATTAATTGTTTAATAATTGAGATATTAGTTCATTTAGAAAGTCCTTGTCTGATCTGTAATAGATATCATGAGGTACGGATGCACGCTCATTGAAAGTTGATGTTTCATGTACTACAACAATATTTGACGAATCGTTGCCATTTTGAGTATTATATGAAATAGACATGTATTGCTGCTTTATTATCTACTACATCACAATTTTCTAAGTTAAAATGAACTATTTTGAAAAAAAGTTTCTGCTTTTACCTTTCTTATTATAAAAAAAAAATAAAAATAGAAGTGTTTATGAACTTATTCTAGTAATAGTAGAAAGTTTCTTGAGATATTAGGTATTTTCATTAAAAAAATATTATAGATATTTGATGAACCATTGTCATCTTGTCATTATACGAAATAGTGCAGTTTCTTAACTACTGCGCCACAATTATTTTTTTTTAAAAAAAAATAAATTAAAATTTTTGAATATTACCATGCGTATTTTTTGTTTTATAATATTATAGAACACAGAAAGTTGCGAAATTTAGATAATAATGTTGGATAGAATTATTTTGGTATTTCTGTATTTAATATTATTGAAAAAAATTGGCACTTCTCAAACAAATCAACATTTGTTTTTCGAAATGGAGAATTGTATATTTGTGAAATTTCCAAATAAGGAAATATTCCTAAATCAGCAAATAAAGAAATAATTGGCATTCTACAATTTGCTATTTATATAACTAAGTAAATGGAAACAGTTATTAAGAGAAAATTCTAGTATAGACAAATGCATAATAAGATATTGAACATAAGATTAACATACGTATAGCTTGAGACAACAGTTTGATATATCAATTTAAATATCAATTTAATTAGTCCGGAGCGTAGCGAAGGACTATATAATTCTATGCGTTGTTAATTAGTAAAAATAGCATTACATTTTATACTAAACTCAAATAAACAAAACAAATAAACTATACAGTAAACTATACTGCTAAACTCAAAATAAATTAAACCGCTAAACTCGAAGTGTAACGAAGGTAATGATCGGCATCTTAAGGAGTTTCCGTAAGTAAATTAAAAATTTATAATAACCACGTGATACAAAATTTATCGTTCTTTATTGGTTAAGACCCTAGATCCGGACTTAACAACGGCAAGCCGTTTCCCTAGTTATATATAATATTAAGTAAAGTTAATTAAATCGAATAAATATTTGTAAAAGTTTATTTAATTATTTGAATCAATAAAGTATATAATTAATTCATAAAGGAATTTCATTCATATCTGTAACTGCTAATAATAAAATAAGAATTAGATTAGAATTAGAAAATCAATGTTCATTATTTCAATTTGCATAAACAAAAATGAATAATCAAACTACTAACCCCGAGACGGAAAGAACAAAATGAGCGCATCTCACACGTGAAAGTAAACTAAAATGTCAAAAAAGAGCAATGAAAATAAAAAAGAAAATAAAGAAAATGAAGTTATACTTACAAGTCACAATAAAATAGGTAAGTTTTTTGCATTTTCGAATAATATCCGCATTGCTTGTGATTTCACTGCGCCATACTTCAAGGTTGGGTAAGATAAGGAAGAAGATTCCAAATTTGCTTGACTTTATCCGCATCACATTAGTCGCACCAAACTTAGATGCATGTGACGAAATCAGGAAATACACAATTACCAGTATGATGCCGTTAAAAAAGGTTCGTTTCGATTATCAGATATACTCGGCGAATATAAAATATATGGAAAAGATCAAGAAAAGGTAACATCTCCGCTTTGATTTTGAGCATCTAAAAAAACGGAAAAAATCGATTAGTAATGTGATGGCAATAATCTAACCTACCTTGTTTTTAATTTGATATACTGATCGTTTGAATGATATTGGTGATAGATGTAAAGTAAGTTTGACTAGAATATTCGTTTAGTTTTTCGTTTGATTTAAGAAGAGCGGATAAAAGATCAACCAATTAAACTTACCTCCTACCTCCTTTTTATAATTTAAAACCGCGTGATCTTAGAATCGGCAAGTATGATCGCATCACGAAAATCTGGATCTACGGCACGGGTAATTGCAGGGTGGTAACCCGTCGGCTAGTTAACCTGTTATCAATTTACCATTTTTTAGTTTATTTATTTATTTACGCGTGTGAAATTTATATATTTTAATGTAATATTGATGTCATTTATTTAAATCAATTGAGAAATGAAATTGATAATTATTTGAATGAAATAATCACACCAATCTTATCCGAAGCTACTGAAGTTTATCAATGGTGGCGTATTAATCAACACTCCTTTCCTGTTTTAAGTAGAATGGCACGTAAGTATTTATCAATTTCTGCTGCTTCCGTTCCAATCGAACGGCTTTTCTCTGATGCAGGAAATCAAGTTACCTCACAAAGAACCCGTGAAGTAGTCAGTCAATTATTATATGTCAAAAGAAAAGGTTTATATTGTAAAATTTGGGGTTAATAAAATGCAATAATAAAAAATAATAAACATTTTTCATGATAAAATTTGATCGTGTGCTATTTTATACATTAAATTCATCCAGGTAAAATTTTTATTCAGATAAAATTGTTGATCACCTGGGTGACCCGATGACCCATCTGCCAGATGACCCGGGTCTTGTTTTTTAGGACGGGTCCAATCCCTATATGAGACAAAAAGAGTTCTTTAAATTCAATTGTTTAAAATAAAGTATTTGAAAAGATATATAGCTATTTAATGATTTTATAGCTATTATAGAGATTTAATAATGCTCTTTCAACTCTTTGTTAATGACTAATTGAAAGTAGAATAAAAAAGGATTTAAAAATATCAAGTTCTACAAAATAAATTTCCGCTTAAAAGATGTGTAACTTAAAAAATAATATTTTTTTTATAATTAAAATAGTAAGTCTGTGTAATTTCTCATTTATTTCTTTCATCACCTTTTTCATAATAAAAAAAATGAGCACAAAAAACTATGATGAACATGTTGTTACCAAATCAAGAAGAGGAAGAAAGGCATTTGCTGCATTTGCTGTAAGAGAAGAACATATAGATATAACTGGAAAACTCATAATATGGAGGTTAGAAGGTATACTCTGAATAAGAAAGCTTTATCGGCCTCAAAAGTCATAAAACGTAAAGAAAGTTATGATGATATAATCAAAAGTATCTTAAATGATTTTTGAGAGATATAGAGAGAAAGAAAGATTGAGAGAAAGTATGCAAATATAACAAATATTACAAAGGAATATGTTTACTTATACAACAATTCCTTATATTGGGACGGAAGAACTTTCAAGATTCAAAATGAAATACAATTACAAACTAACTATCAGACATTTTTGATGATCCTTTTGATCCTTTTGAAATGCAAAGTCAAAAACTCAAATAGCAACTCCATTACTTTACGCAGAAAATGTAATGTAGCAGTGCATTTAACTATTTTAATAGTGCAATAATAAAATATTAAAATTATGGTTTATTTGGTTTATAAGTTATAATATGCTACATTTATTTAACCTCAAATTCTATTTGTTTTATTTTATTTTATTTTTTTTTATTACTTTCTCTTTCTCTCTCTCTCTTTCTCTCTCTCTCTCTCTTATATATTAAGATTTTTTATATTTTTTTTTATTTCATCATATTTAATTAAAAAGGTGTTATTTACATGGAAACCATGGAAAACACATAATTTTATAAATCTAATAGAATAGGAGAATTAAATCATTGAATATTTTTTCCCTTGCTGACCCTAAGTTTCTTTTATACCAAAAAAAAATTAGATATGGATCTTATCTGTTTATGGTGCTTTTAACATTGGTCATTGTATTATATCATATTTAAAGTAAATTTTGACCTTGTACAGAACGAACTATTACATTTTTTAAAATATATAAGGCTGGGCAAAAAAATTTTTAGATTCTCGTGACCCGGCCGCCTTAATTTTTACAAAAATTCTAAATTTATTTCACGTGACTTTATATAATGAATATCATAATGGTGTGGTAGCATTTACTTTATTATAAAAAATTTAACATACAGGATAATATAAAGTACATATAAAAAAAATTTAAATAAAAACTGGGTGACTGTGTCAAATTTAAAATTTTATGTCATGAGAATCTAAAAATTATTTTGCCTGGCCTTATCATAGTTTAATTTGCATACTCACGTTTTGTATGTTATCGCGCTTTCTAACTAGCAAATGCCAATGAATGAAAATTCATTCCTCTTCCTGAGAAAAGTAACACTATTTGCATTCAAAGATTACTATAAATATTAGTTTACGAAAACTTAAAAAATATTATTTCATAAGATCAAACTATAATGTGAATTCATTTATAAAAAATATAAACTAAACTTTAACTTATTTATGTAAGAGTAAAAATGCTTGTCTTGCTGAAAGTCCACATGGTAAAATTCTGTAGATTAGTGGATACGTTAAATTCAGTAAGATATACAATTGGTGCTGGTAATAGATATCGTCGAGAAGATTTTTCAGTTTTTGAAGTTGGTTAAGATATGGGTACTGGTTCTGCTTCATAATTTGAATTTGAATTTTGGTGTAACGTCAAATACAACTACAACCAAATTAAATCTCCGACACAGGATGGGAACGGTTCAAAAAGAGCGACGACTCTGAGTCAGTTCTGGAACCGATTCGTAATTCAGCAAATTCTGAGTTTGCTTTGCCTGAGTTTAGAACCATTTCTACCAATTTTGAAATGGATTGACTCAAAAGGTATAGTTATAGACCTAATTTGTTTTATAACCAATTTTTTTAATTGTTCATAACAATTTGTTTGTAAAAAAACTTGACACTCCTAGTTTTCAATATATTTAGGAGAGCAAAACAGAACCGAATAGAAGTCGAAATGGAACTGAAAGAACCGTTTCCATTATAATTCGTAGTAGTAATGATTTTTTTTTCATATCTTATAAATAGAAAGGCAAGATAAATAAATTAATTAAAGTTTATTATACTTCTCCACCTCCACATTATTTTTTTAATAAATTATTTTTTGAAACATGAAATTCAAAATAGATTTGTTGTTTCGTCATATTATATTTATTCAATTCTATTTACATAAACACTCCGATTTATGTAATTTTTTTTTTTTTGGTATGTGGTCAACAATAACTAAAAAAAAAAATAAAAATAACTGACTACCTAACTGTAATTTATTTTACCTTTTCTGGTTAATGCTGGTAATATAAAGAGTAAATTTTTAACATCGTACAACAATTATTTGCCAATTTAGGAATATTAACTATAAATAGTTTTTGTTTACTTACATTATTTTTTTCTTTGAGTCGGAAATTACACAATTCATTTATCTTTTCGAAAAACTAGTAACTAATGTATAAAAGTGTGGGACTATTTATACAATTTATTATGATCTTCCCTTTTTTTCAAAATATTGTATAAAACTTCTTTAGCTCTATAATACAAAAATAATACAAACGATTCGTCAAATATTGATAATATACAAGACATATCAGCTTTTAATAAGCGTGTTTTCGTACTTCAAGAAACTACATTTTATTACAGGCCAAACAACGATTTTTAAATTTACAATGTTTGTTGTAAGAAATAACCTTAAATGATCTTACAACTCAATTATTAAATAATTACCTTTATTTATCCTTATCCTTCAATTATCTTGATTCCAATAATCTTGTATTTTCTCTTAATGATCAAAGGATATATCATGTTACTTGTGAAATGATTACACATTCGACTATATCCAAAATCTTAAAAGTTTAATAACTTTGAAAAGAAATAGTATTTAAATAATATAAAACATAAACAATACACAATTAATTAAAGAATGATTTGATTGGATAGTTTTGCTTTTCTGAAAAATGCTAAAAAAAAATATTTACTTTATTAGATAGCTGCTCGAAAGTATTACTTTATTATTTTTTAAACGCAAATGAGAAAATTCAAACTATTATGCGAAACAAATAATGATTTGAAGTATTTGTAAAATTGGAAATATAAAGAATGAAAAGAAATCAAAAGTTATTGAAGCTTGAAAATGTATCGATTTAGTAAGGAATGTAGTTTAATTAAAGTTTAAATATAAAAAATTTATCAATAGTAATTTTATATGGAAAGAACACATTAGATAAGAGCTTTTCAGGACAAGTTTTTCGGGTTTTACTAAAATTTTATTTTTATTTTTATAGTAACGAAGCTTCTTCAATTTGATAAGGAAAGTGGCTTTTCACACTTTTAGGGTAGCTTTTAATGAAATGATGAAGAAAAAACTGCTGAATATGGCAATGACAAATACAAAAAAACTAGTATTGGAGTGGTGGCGTAAAACCCAGAATATGAAAAGGCAAAACGAAAGAGACAATATCAATCGAGATCAAAAGCAACTTTTAAATGGTAATAGTGGACTTTGAACACTTCTTATTATTTATATTCCAAATTATGCAAAAATATTATCTCTTCGCGTAACAGTTTGTTTTTTTTTCAAAAAAGACTGTTTCACTCGAAAATAATAAAGTAAAACTCACAGATATATTTACATAGGAAAAAATTTTTTTTAGTATTTTCAAAAAAGTATTCTGTTACAACGTTATTTAGTGTGTATTTATTTTTATTTTTATTTTTCGATTTAAAACTTTTTTTAACGTTACAATTATATACTATTAACAAAATATTAAATTGTTTCACTCAAAATTAATTTCGGACTAATGAAAATCGATTTAAAGTCAACGATTTTGTCGAGATTGAGATTCAAAATCGATATTACAATCAACTTTCGACTTTGGCGATTTTCTGACTTTCGATTCCGAACCCTATTGCAATGAATGATAAATTACTTGTTAAATTAGTAAAAAGAGCCGAGCGAGCTATTTTGGTATTTTTTTTTTTTTTATTCATAATGAAATGAAGATGATTGAACATTTTTTCTTATAAATACAGTACATCAAAATGTTTTTTTATTTCAACCTTCAAATTACTAGACCTTCAAAGAAGAATAAATCAAAAAAAATGAAAGCACAAAACCTTGAGGAAAACCCCGTTGTTGCAAAATCAAAAAGAGGAAGAAAAGCTTTTGCTGTAAGTGAAGGGTATATGGACCCTACCGGAAAAACTCATATCATGACAGTTAGAAGGTCAAATCCCCCGACGCCGAAAAAGAAAGCTCCAAACGTTCCAAAAGCCATAAAACAAAGCAATAATGGTTGTAGTCGATGTAATCAAAATAAAAAATATTCGACGTTCTTAATGAACAAATTGACAAATTACAAAGTATGGTAAATATTTTAACCAACGAAACCAAACACAATAATAACAATCCTCAACCGTTATCTAATATTAGTAATGAGAAACATTTTAGTATATTTAATCAAAGTAGTGCCGAGCTATTTGAAAGACAAAATCAAACACAATTACAAGTTCAGATTGCAACTCCGATAACTACATCAACACCAAATATTGTCGTTCCTGATCAGTTTGTTAATACAACAATTCCACGATCTTACATTGGTTTAGAAATTCCTTTTCAGATACAACATCAATTACAATTACAAACTCAATTGGTGGCTCCAACGACTGCATCAACACCAACTTACATCGATCTTATCGAACGAATTGAAAGATTAGAATGTTATAATATACTTACCAATGAGATAACTCAAATACAAACTCAAATGGAAACCCCGAATTACACATATGTCTCTCGTATGGAATCGATTTTAAAAAGTAGAATCGATTATAGTATTGATTAATAGGATTTATCGAAGCTCGAGACTCGATCGATTATAAGATTCAATTTTCGATTTCGATTATTCGATTTTAATCGAAATTTTTATGGAGAAATGATTTTTTTATCATAATTATAATCGGAACTAGGGATTGGATCAATTTTCAGTTTTAATTGATTCCAATCTATTTTATATATTCTTTTTTTCCGACTCTTTGGGTTCAATTGTTCGGGAATTATTTAATTTTTAAATATTTTTTTTTTTACTTCTGAAATTTTTTAATTATTTTTGGATGTACGCGATGTGTTCTATATTTAATATTTAGTTTTTTTTTTAAATTCGATCGATCGATTAAATTTCAGATTAACCATTCACTTTATTATATTTTTTCTTAAATAAGCAAACGTTTATTTTTCTTTATGCCTCACTCTTACTGCGCATCTGAAAATAGAATCGATTTTTTTATTCGATTTTTGATTAATTCGATTTTGATAGAAGGTTCCGCAAATTGGAGTTCATTTATCCAACAATCCTAATAATTATGACACTACTATAACAAATCTGTTTATATACTTTATAATATGTAATGTTGAATTCAGAATTTTTTAATAAAAATCGATAAAATGTTTATAAATGCTAGACATAATAGACAGTTATTTTTATAATACCGTATTACGATTTTCTTTACACTTTTTTATTTCGTAATTTGATATTTTGGTGGTTTTGCTATTAAAATTACGTAACGGATCAAATTCATAACTCAATTTTATAAATACGACTTTATATATGCAATACAAATTCTAAGTTATTTCACAATTAAATATAAATCTTTAAAAAATATTTTTAATATATATGGTTAAGGTCTTATTGTAAATGAGCGTGTTATTGAACAAGTTAATATAATTATAATTATATTTTTATGCATCATATACTCACGTATTGTATGTTATCGCAACTGTCTAACAAATATAAATGAATGAAAATTCATTTCTTCAATTACCATTATAACTTCCCGAGAAGTGATAAATTAATTTGCTTTTAAAGATTACTATCAATAGAAAGTTTCGATAATTTAAAAATTCTTATAAGAGCAAACAATTATAACAATTATATGAATAAATCAATCTTTATCATTGTAGAATAAATTCAAAAAAAAATAGCATCTATTCATAAACTTGCATTTTAATTATTATTAAATTATTTTACAATTTTCTTAAACAAAATTTATATAAATAAAAGAAAAGTGTCAGGGTTATCAAACATGTGATTTAAAATATCACCCTTTGATTTTTATCACATAATACTTGTAAAGCGCACGTGAATCTTTATTTTTTATCTGGAAGATGTCTAGTCGGTATATAAATCTGCGCGATAATTGATTTTCACATATATATCCCATTTGCGGGTGTGAATCGAAAAGTTTTTTTCTTAAGTGAAACTGAGAAACTATGGAATATAGAGAAAATGAAGGAACGGTTATTCTCCGTCGGTCGATGTCGTAAAGAAAGGTTGGAAAAAGATAACGTTATTACTTTCTTACAAAGGGAGGTCTTGAACTTAGTACTTGACGATGAGGACATTGAGATAATCAGAAATAAAAAAGTTGGTGGTAAAAACTTTCTCAGTTTGACGAAAGAAGAACTTGAAAGTTATGGACTACAACCGGAACCGGCATTGCGATTGGTGAGCTGATAAAGGAAATCAATGAAAAGCGCAATTATATTCAAGAAAAATTACCTATTCTTGTTTTTTTCTTCCTGCTTCTTATCGTCAAACCCGCCCAAAAAACACGTTTATGTTACAAACTAACACTGCATTTCTCGCTGTGAGGTCATATCTGTCTTCAGTGTTTTCATGGGACGCAGATACGGACACGGACACGGACCGGACTGTCCGTGTCCATGTCCGAGATTTTTTTATGTCCGGGACTTTTTATCCGCATTAATGCTGGCCACATTGCTTGTTAATTATGGCCAAAAGATATCTAATGTCGGTCCCGGAAATGGACTTCGGACGTCCCGTGTCCGCCAAAAATCACCGGGACAACGTCCGTGTACAACACTGACGTAATGTATACTCGAAAAAGCAGTCACCATTGATAAGAAGAGAGGATCCTTTTACTTCGAACAGCTCCGCTTCGATCATGATTGTCTTCCATCAGTATTGAATGGACGAAGCATTGGCAGTGATCCAATGATTGTTGTCTCACGTAAACTTACGAATGAGTTGCTATGGGAGCATATTCGAAGTCAGGGTGTTAAAGTGATCCTTTATGATAGAGAGAAGAAAGTAGATATGTCTCTCGTGGTTGATGGAATGAAATAAATTACGTTCAAGTATTTTTCTTAATAGCCGATGTTGGTGATTATTATCCCATAGTAGTAAAAGCTCTGAATCGAAATTGGAAGGTTGAAATATGGTTTTGGTCATTAGGTATGAAAGTTATTGTTGTTTAAAATCATAAGAGTTATATAAGTGAAATATCATTTCTATTCTATAGAAATATCTGGTGACCTTATGCAAAAAGAAAAGAAAAATCAAGAAAGTCTTTTTATACTATGGATGATTGCTACTGATATTTCGCATATGCGTCTGGATCTAATTTCGAGAAAAAAATGGGCGATGAACAGGATGAACAAGTAATGGATTGTTTTGTTTCATTAGAATCATTTGGATGATGGAATTGGGAAGATGATGTTGTATACTATTTCGAAGATAAATTGTATTTGGAAAAGGCAAAGAAATGGCTGGAGGATATATATTCTGATATATAAGTTTGGGGAGTTAAAAGAAATAGAAATATACGACCGAGTTAATTTATATTATATTTACTGTATAACAGGATTTGCGTCCTAATATATTTTTAATTCTATTGTGTCCAATTCTTTGCATATGCTTTAGATGGACTCACGTTAATAAAAGTCAACTTTTCATTTCAATAAGCATTGGCGTTATATTTATTTCATTACTAATCATCGTAGAAGGTTAATTAACTTAATTAACTTCATTGTCATAATTTCGCAATCACGTATTATCTTCCAGCATAAGGTAGTGTTGTGGAGTTGTGTTGTGGCAGATCTCGCCAATCCGATGTTCGATTTACCTTTCATTTGAAACTCAGGGATCATTAATAGACGATTAATTCTATTCCCAGATTGTGGGCGTAGCTGTGATAGTATCAAACTTACCTTTCAGATTTTTTAGCGAATCCTTTCGATCATCACGAGGTACTGGAATATGTGATGCAAGAGCGGAAAATACTCTCCAACCGAATTATCCGCATCACAGCCATATAATAGCATGATTACTTGAACTTCCCGCAACCGGTCCATATGTGAAGGGGTCGGGTTCTAAGATCATGACCGGGATATCTGGCCTGTGGGTAATCCGGTTGTACCCGACCCGGGTCCAATCCCTAGTCTCATATATTTTTGGAAAATTTTGTCCCTAGAGACATTAATGTACAGAAGTTGATAATTATTTGCTGATTCAACAAATTCTTAAGTTCTAAAGTTGATTGGTCTAAAATTGATTTCGAAATCATTGTTACAATATTAAATAAATATCTCAAATTTTACCATTGCATACTTATTAATGTTAGTACCAGTCGTGTCGACTAAGCCGTCGACAGAGTCGAGATTCTAATTTGAAATTAGCGACCTTATTTGGATTATTAAATATCTTAAATTTGGAACAGCGACTCAGTCATGGCTCAGTCATTGAAAATTCCAAAGTCGACTCTACTTGATTTTTGCAGAGTCGACTCTACTTGATTTTTGCAGAGTCGACTCAGCGTCGACTCTGACTCCAACGGCTGGTACTACTACTTATTAAGAAGAGAATGTGTGGTATATGCATTATCTTTTATTCTTCATTAAAAAAAAAATGGAATCATTGTAAAGAAATCTAGAAGAAATCTAGAAGATATACCATAAATAAGAAATTTTCAAATAATACTTATTTGCCTTCAAAGCTACCTTTCCTCATAACCTAATTAGAATGATTTTATAAGGAATTACTAAATCTACTAACTTTTTCGCAAGCTTTTCTCCAAAAAAATCATTTGAATATATAACTGTAAATACATTCTGCGATATAACATATTATGAAAAGTACAATTTTAGTGTATAAATGTCAGATACTGTTGAGACATGAAAGAATTTATTGACATGAGAAAATATGCAAAATCAACAAAGCTTTTTTTAATAATAAAGAAGACAATTGTAAAAAAAAAAAAAATCAATTCAGGATCAAATCAAATTGGTTTGATTATAAAAAGTTCATATGATGCGTCTATGCGTCTCTAGATGATTTTTTTAATAACTTTATCAGTAGCTTTGAACTAGAGGAAGTTGATTATATGGGACCTTTTGCAATTGATAAGTAGGAAACTGCTCGGAAAAATCAAATTTACTTTTATATGCCAAAAATGATTTTTAGTCTAAAATATGTTCAAATTAACATTAACTCATTTTTTATTTTCCCGCTTCTTGATAATCAAAATATTTGTATGCTAGTATTATTTACACAAAAATATTTTTTTGCTTTGTTTATTGGTTCTGACAAAGCAGACGAAAATCATTATATACTGTATATGGGAAATATTCCCAAATTGGACAATAAAAAATTAATTAGTTGAAAAATGATAAAAATTTGCTATTTATATTATCAGCATTTACCATAAGGAGAAATAAAGAAATAAATATTAGAATTTTTCATCATTTGTCAAACAAGTACCCAAAAAAAAAAAAATACACAGAATTATATGATCCCAACGTTTTTTTGCATAGAATTTGTCTAATGGTAATTGAATATACTAGGAAACGATTCGCGGGAACTTTTGTTGACGTGTAACGAAAGTAACCAATCACGTATCGACCTAATAATAATAATAATAATAATACTAATACGCTTATCTCCGGACTATTAATATGACGAAATAAAAAAAAAAGTTACTGTCCTTTTTTTGACTTTCTAATTATAATATGACATGAACAAATAAAAAAATTTATTATAACTGCGAATTTATAAAAATTGGGGAAAATATTTCAAAATTGGCGCCGTAAATTTCGCACCAATTATTAATCGGAAAGCATGATATTTTGATTTTAATGTTGATGCGTGGCAAAAAATTTGGGGCATCTTTTTAATCACACTGACGAAGTTTCAAAGTATTTTTTAGGTTTCAAGTGCCTAAACCTATAAAATTTGGTCATACAATAAAATTTTATTTTGAGGTTCCATATTGAAATTTTATGACAGGCCAGTAAATTTCCCATTCTATAAATTGTACATAAAAAATGACAAAACGGATAAACTTTCAGATATATTTTTTAGTTATTTTTAAATTTATCAAATAATTAGCTATTTACAAAATATTTACAATTGATAGAATTTACCTAATTGAATAATTTATGGTCATCCGTTCTGTGTAACATGTCGCATTTTTTCTTATAAATACAATCAAAAATAGTTTTTTTCATTCATCCTTCTAACTTGACTTTTTAACGAAGAATAAATCAAAAAAATGAGCACACAAAACTTTAATGATAAGACAATTGTTACAAAATCAAAAAGAGGAAGAAAAGCTCTTGCAGTAAGCGAAGGACATATAGACACAACTGGAAGAACTCATATCATGACAGTTAGAAGGTCAAATCCTCCGACGTCGAAAAGGAAATCTTCAAAGGCTCCAAATGCCATAAAACCAAGCAATAATTATTGCAGTCGATGCGAGCAAAAAGATAATTATATCGACGTACTTAATGATCGAATTGGTAAATTAGAAAATGCGGTAAATATATTAACTAACGAAACAAAACAAAATAACAATCAAGAAAATCCTCAACCGTTATCTACTATTAGAACAGAGGAAAATTTCAACCTATTTAATCAAAATAGTACCGAGCTATTTGAAAGACAAAATCAAACACAATTACAAGTTCAGATGGAAACTCCGATCACTACATCAACACCAGATATTGGCGTTCCTTATCAGTTTGTTGATTCAGCAATTCCTCTACCTTACATTGGTTTAGAGGTTCCTTTTCAATATCAAATACAATTACAAACCCAGTTGGTTGCTCCAACAACTACATCAACACCAACTCACATCGAACGAATTGAAAGATTAGAAAGATATAACATAATTACTAATATGATAACTCAAATACAAACTCAAATGGAAGCTCCGAATTCCACATTAAGTCTTTCGTATGAACTAGAAGATCCCGCAGATTGGAGTCATTTACCCAATAATACTGATAATTACGATAATAACAAATCATGATTATATACTCATTAAAATTAATTTAAACCTTGAGACATAAAAGACGGGTTTTTTGTATAATTTTATAATTTCTTCACATTTTGTATTTCTAGAAATCCGCTTTTTTTCTTTTTTTTTTTCTATATTCGGTTTTTTGCGGCAATTTATTTTTGATTTCGTTACAATTACAATTTGCCATTAAAATCACGTATTCGTAACTGATTTAATAGCAAACGGCCATATTATTCGTTTCGTGAACAGTAATTCATTCCATTCTAACCTATATATATGACTTTACATATGAATACAAATTCTGAGATATTTTCACAATTAAAATATGCTAAAATATAAAAATAATAAAAATAAAAATAAGAATGAAATTTATTATCAATAGCTAATTTAGAACAACCGGATTTTAATAATCATTTATAACTTACATGCAGTGAAACGTATTGAAACGTATATATTTATCAAAAAAGAAACTACCGTTGTCATTTGATTTGCATAGTATTCAACTCTAATATGATGTCACATGACTTGTCTTGATCAGAAAAAAAAAATTTTTTTAAATCATCCCGGATATGCAACTAATTTACAAAGTTTCATCAATCATTGATATTTATAATAAATATGTATCTCTTATATAAGTATTACAGCCTTATCATATGTTCATAACATTAAAGTCTTTATATTCAAATTTAACGAGAAATGAACTTTCAGAAACGAAATATTTAAACTTATTAAAAAGAAACGAGTCGAGAATTTCTTATAAGAAAAAAAGCTAATTAAAATTCAAAAATTTTATTAGAAAAAAAACTTATAAAGTAAGCGATCGTGAAAGTATTATTTTTTAAACCATTCTAAAAATCTAAAAACATGATATGAGAATATTTTTTTTGTATTTATTTACAATCATATCTACTTTTGATCATGCACATTTTTAATTTAATCCAAATGCCATTTATTCATTTGGGATATCCGAAATGATCGTTTTGAACATTAACGCATTTGGTCTACAACTAAAGATGGTCAGTCGGTCTTTCGGTCCTGAACGATCCTGCCCGGTCTTTGGAAAAGTTATAAGTAATGCACCCTTGAAATTTTGAGGCGCAGCAAGTATGGCTAAAGACCAATTAATGTCAAAATTTGGCCTTTATACTTCTTTTTCTAAGACCAGCAGAGGCAAAATTGGTAAAAGACCGAAAAAATCAAAAAAAATACTGGTTTTGGTAAAATAAAAACCTACCTAGCTCTAAATTGGGTGATTAGATTGAGACCACTTTTCGGTCTTAATCAGTTCTGTTGTGCCACAAAAAATTGGGAGCACAGACTTATTACTTTTCCGAAAATTCCCTAAAGACCGATCAAGACCGATCAAAGACCGCAGGACCGAATGACCATCTCTAGCTACATACATAGTTTACATAATATTAATTTAATTAGTCCATCGACCACCCCATGTATGATTACGGAAAAATCAAACTCTACGAAATGTTACATTTCATTGCATGAAAAACAAATTTTAAAGTTAAATGAATCAGCGTTGATTTGTTTGTTCGTCGGACTCAATCCACCTCAAACCTTTTCTTAAAAATGCAATTATCTTGGTTGCTAAGTTATTTGTCAGCATTCAGAGAAAATTGCAATTCTATATAATATTTTTATCTTTAAAATCTTGCTATTATACAAAATCTTCGTTTTCTCCATTCATTTTTATTTTTTTTTTTTTTTTTTTTTTTTTTTTTTTTAGAAATATATCATAATTTAGGGTCTTTCACAAGACAAATATCTTTAAATTTGGCAACATTATATAAAGCAAAATTAGACGCAAATTTTCTCGATAAAATTGTCAAAATTTATTCGCAAGTAACCAACATTTCGTTCATGTGATAGTTATATTCCGGAGAGTTGAGGAATAGTTGTTTTGGTATCCCTTCCAAGAATTTATTCATCAATTCCTACATCTGTACTTAACCATAGTAACTTTATATCCTACTAAACTCCATTTGAACAGAATCTATTGATGTTAATTTTTCAGAAAGTCTCTAAAAATCAAAAAGAATGAAATTTGATTACTATATGGGAGTTTGCTAGGAAAATTGGGTTCTGAGAATTAATATGCAATAAAAATCAAAATTTTATTAATAATTTCTCAGAACCCCATTTTCCTAGCAAACTCCCATATAACATAAAGATTTAAGGGAAATAAATCATTCTCGATATTGCATGAGGAGGAATATATATATTTATTATATTATCAAATTAAGTTTTTTTTAAGTTCATTAACTTTAAATTTGCATGGCAATCTTTTGGATAAAGTGCTAAGATATTATATCTTTTCCGGTTTAACAGATAAATATCGATAATGTCGATAATGCGGACCTAACTTTACAGCATAAAAAGAATTTGAACACATAATATGCTATTAAGTTCAAACTAGAAGATTTTTTCCTTCCACCTTGGAGTGAAACCAGCACGAATGGATGATTAACCTTGAAAATTAACTCAAATTTATAAAAGAATTGTTGTTAATTTTAACGATAATTTATAAAGTTTAAATGTTATCGTTTATTTGAATTTTACTACCCATACAAGATCGTAGTTAAAATTAATGTCTTTATATAAATTGTGAAAATACTTTTTATTATTAAATAAGTGCGTGTGAAAAAAGTATTTTAAATGTACGTTTGTATTACGATGTCACGAGATATTTAATTGACCAGATCATTTTGTGAAATACGCGTTTTTTTTTAAATAAAAACTACTTTCAAACTAATATATTGGCTTCATTTTGTTTAAACAAAAATAAATGCCCAAGCGTACGCATTTCTGGTGATAAAAAATAATTGGCATTGCTTTTTATATAACTGGAACCGTTATTAAGAGCAAATTCTAGAATAGACAAATGCATAATAAACACTGAACACCTGATTATCATGAGTAATTTAAAAATATGGTAAATCTTAACCACAGCTTACTAACAGAGACAATAGTTTGATATATCAATTTAAATATCAATTTAATTATATATAATATCATGTAAAATTAATTATTTTGAATAAATATTTGTAAAATAAAGTTTATTTAATTATTTTAAACAAATAAAGTATATAATTAATTCACAAAGTTTGATCACAGAATTTAATTCATATCTTCAACTGCTAATAATAATAAGAATTAGATTAGATTAGAAAATCAATGCTCAATATTTCAATTTACATAAACAAAAATGAATAATCAAACTAATAACCCCGAGACGCTCTGGAAGTAAAAGAACAAAATGAGCACGTCTCACACGTGAAAATAAACTAAAATGTCAAAAAGAGCAAGTGAAAATAAATAAATTTTTACTTACAAGTCACAATCAATAGATAAGTTTTTTGGATTTTCGAATAATATCAGCATTGCTTGTGGTTTCACTACGCCATACTTCAAGGTTGGGTAAGATAATTGCGGAAGAAGATTCTGAATTTGTTTGATATATCCGCATCATGTATTTGCATCAAACTTTGACGAAAATCAGGTGATACACAATTACAGTATAATAAGCCACTGCGTTAAAAAGGCACGTGTCGATTATCAGATATACTCGGCGAATATCAAATATATGGAAAAGATCAAGAAAAGGTAATATCTTCGCTTTGATTTTGAGCATCTAAAAAAAACGGAAAAAAATCGATTAGTAATGTGATGGCAAACCTCTAGAATCAAACCAAATCAAACCAAACATTAATCTAGCCTACCTTGTTAATAAATTTGTAAGATATACTGATAGTTTGAATGATATTGGTGATGGATGTAAAGTAAGTTTGATTAGTATTTTCGTTTAGTTTTTCGTTTGATTTAAGCAGAGAGGATAAAAGGGTCAACCAATTAAACTTTACCTCCTACCTCCTTTATATAATTACACCGCGTGATCTTGGAATCGGCAAGTATGATCGCATCACGAAAATCCGTATCAACGGCCACTTTACATAGAAGTTCGAGAAACCATTCTATACTATGGCTGTGATGCAGATAATTTGGTTGAAAAGTATTTTTCCGTTCTTGTATCACATATTTCAGTATCCCATGATGATCGAAAGGAATTCGCTTAAAAATCTGAAAGGTAAGTTTGATACTAACTTTACTTACCTCATAGCTACGCCCACAATCAGGAAATATTAATAATAACTAATCATCCTTGCTCTTCAGATCAATGATGCCTGCTTTTTCGAGTTTACTTACAGTGAATTCCTTCAATAAATAATTTGGAGTTATTCATAAAAATGAACACAAGTCTGGTGGGGGTATTTTGATGTGCCTGCTACAAAGGAAGAGATAAGTTATATTGAAGACAGAGCTGACCTCACAGCAAGAAATGCAGTGTAGGTTTTGTATATTCGAATGAAGTTGTGGTACACACAATAACGTTAATGTGGTTTTGGGGCGGGTTTGACGATTAAAAGCAGGAAAGAAAAGCACAAGAATAGGTAAGTGTTCGGTATAATTGGCGAATATAAAAGCGCATGCAAAGAAAAAATACGGTATCATGTAATTCACTTTGTCCACCTTTGATTTCCTTTATCAGTCAGCGATCACAATAGCCGGTCCTGGTTGTAGTCATAACTTTTAAGTTCTTCTTTCGTCAAACTGAGAAAGATTTTACTACCAATTTTTTTTTTACTTCTGATTGTCTAAATGTCCTCATCGTCAAGTTCTAAGTTCAAGTCCTCCTTTGTAAAAAAGTAATAACATTATCCTTCTTCCAATCTTTCTTTACGACATCGACCGACGGTATTATAACAATCGATTCCAAATTTTCGAAAATACTAGCAATTTGGCGCAAGCTTTTTTGAACGAACATAAATTAATTTATCATTTCTCGTGGATGAATATTAAATCAAATCAATACTTAAATCAGCTTCAAAACTAAAGTTTGAACGCATCAAAAGTTGCACGTTTTTCAATCTCCTTCAAACACTTAAATACATTTGTGCAAATAGGTATTCGATCATAATCCTTGATTACAATTTAAGCCA